AGAGAGAGAGAGACAGACAGACAGAAGTAAGTTTCTGCAGGGTGTCTGCATTTTATCTGGACATCTGGGCTCCTTCCTCCTGCCTGAGGTGAGTTCAAGGCTTCATCGCTTATATCAGGCTGATGCCTTCAAGGCTCCCTAGTGGAACAACCACCAGAATCCGCAGGAAATGTTTCATGTCAGGATTATGGGACTCATCGCGTACCTGGAGGGTGGCTTGCCCCTGTTATGACAAAGCAGATTTCTTTCGAAAAATTACAAGCTCGTAAATCAAAAACTAAAAAGTTGCCTCCTTGTCTTTAGAAGAGCATCTCCACCCTCCTCCCTTGACCTCCGAACACCTTCCCTGCTCACCCAGACGGCGGCCGCTCCGAGCACTGACCCAGCTGCTCCTGCCTCAGATCGGAAGGGCCAGGCTTAACCCCAGCACCGAAGGAAAACGGCGCATCAGCCTTCGGCCACCTGGCATTTTGCAGGCGTGCAGAAAGGCCTTTGTGTGGGGAGAGATAATGGGGACTGTGCACAGGGACAGATCACTGCCTTGGGAAGGCTGATGACAACAGAACTGCTCATTACAGCTGCCAATATCCCTTTTGAAGAGTTGAGAGCCAATCCCCGAGGGCCCCACCCCCTTCCCTGCCGCCTGCTGCCCCACCCCCACAGGTTGCATTCCTTGACCACAGAAGACGAAGAACTAATACAGCTGCCTTCCCGCGTGGCATAAACCCTCCTGCACCTCTGCTGGGTGCGTGTGTTGCTGTGCCATCCGCTTGCTCTGGGGCACTTACCGTTGTACACGATGGTGCCCATGCAGGGGGCCCAGCAGACGAAGAAGGCGAAGACGACCGGGAGCAGCACTCGGGCAGCAGCATCCAGCTGGAGCATCCGAAGCCTCTTGGGCCACCTTGCCTTTCCTTGCCAGCCCACGTCCTTCCCACGCTGGCGCTGCGAGCGGGCCACTAGCCAGAGGCGCATGTTGGTGAAGGCGATGGTTGCAGCAGCTGGGCAGAAGATGGTGCCAGCTATCCAGAGGGAGTAGGAGGGGTTGGAGCCGTAGTCCGGCTCACACAGCAGGGCGGCCGCAGAGAAGCGGACCCGGAGGACGGCCACAGGGGCCGGGATGGCCAGCGGCACCAAGAGGAAGACGGGCAGGAGCCAGGCGGCCGCGATGAGCAAGAGCACCCGCCTGGGGCTCAGGAGGCGGCCGTAGTGGAGCGGGAAGAAGACGGCCACATAGCGCTCCAGGGAGACCCCAGCCAGGGAATAGAGGGAGGCCCCGAAGAGGCTGGAGTTGATGAAGGCCACCACCCGGCAGTAGACGGCCTCTTCTCTGGCAGCCTCCTTGGGGGCCGCTGGGCCCAACTCCAGGCTCCGGTAGAGGTTGAGGGGCACCACCAGGACTGCCAGAGCGGCATCCGACGCAGCCAGCGAGAGCAGCATGAAGCGGCTGCTGTGGCTCCAGCCGGACACCGAGGAGGCCAGCACCGCGATAGCCAGCCCGTTGCCCCCCATGACCAGAAGTCCCAGCACCCCCAGGAGAGTCACTTTGAGCAGCCAGGCCTGGCAATACGGGGGCTGGCCACAAGGGTCGGGAGGGCAAGGGCTGTGGAGCCAGGCTGGCTTGGTCTTGTCTCGGGGCTCACGCACTCTTGTCAGCTGTCTGCTGGTGGTGGGGCTTCCCTCCCCACTCAGGAGGAACCTGCCTCCCCTGCCTTGGTCCAGAAACCTCTGCTGCCCAGGGCCTGGCAGCTTGGGCCCTCCGGCCGAAGGGGCCTCTGCCCAGGTCTCCCCCTTGAGAGCAAAAGCCAGGAGCAGCAGCAGGAGGGCACAGGAGGGGCTGCCGGAGGCCAGGAGGAGGGCCATGAGGACTGGCCTCACTGTTGCAGCTGCAAGGAAGAGGTTTGGCCTCTGGAAGCAGCGCCTTATATGGCCTGGCCCCTGTCCTTCCTCAGGCTGCCCAAGGAGCCTTCACCTTCCCAACCTTGATTCTTTAACACCTCCAGGTGAGCGGCCCAACCTGATCTTCTCCAAGTTGACCCTGGTTATGGGTAGTGTAGTCCAACGGCCTTGAAGGACTCAGCTGAGGAGAGGTGGGGCAGGACTTTACCTGGAGTTTCCGCAGTGAGTAGAAAACCCAGAATTTTGGACTCTTTTTATGAGGAGAGAAATGTGAACTGCCTATTTTCCTCTCCAGATGCCTAGAGGACACCTGGAGATTTTCTAGGCTTCCCCAACCGCTGCCTTTTCCCAATAAAGTTCTCCTTTCTGCTGTTTTTCTACGGTCCTCTGCCTGGAGTATTTGCAGAATTAGAGCATCTGTTTTTAAAAATGCCTGGAAACAAAGGAAACTGGGATGTAATGATGATTCCTCTTGACTAATTTCTGGGGGAGGGATGGGCTGGGTCACATCCTGAAGCTAAAAAACCGATCCCTGCAATCTTTTATTGCAAAAATGAACAGTGTGACAGTGCGTTGTAGTTCCATCTGACTTGCAAGCCCCAAACTCAATGGCCCTTTTGTTGCAAGGCAGCTTCCAACACTGACCAGGAAGGATCAGAATGGAATCTGGAAGACCGTAAGTGAAGCTGAGATCTTTCCTTAGGCCTCTCCCCTCTCGGCCTGATTTGCTTGAAACCTCATAGATCCTAGATCAGTATGTGTCCACCTCAGAAAATTAATTCAGTTGGACTTCAATTCCCAGAATTCCCCAGCCAGCCATGATGTCATGATGTCTTAGCTTAAAGTTACTGTGGTTGAGAAACATTGGGAGAGCCTTCGGTTGACCAACTTGCTTCTCTAGGTACCAGCTGGCTCTGGAGTAACTGCCTTCATTTTCTTCCTTTCTGGTTTTACACATCATTATTTCTACCTGTTTAGTATTCCTTGTGACCAAGAGGCTGCAAAAGTAATTTGATTTGAATGAAGCAAGACCTGTTGATTCCTCTCTCCTTCCAGAGCATGGGCACAGGACTTAAATGGGGGGGGGCAGGCACATTCTGGGGGCTGTTAGGAAAAGCTTCCTAAGGGCCAGAAAGCAGAGGCCGAACTGCCTGGCCAGAGGAGTTTCCCTTTGGGTTCTTCGGCTGAACAAAGAGTTAGGCCTTAAGGGAGCTTCCTCTGTCTTACGATGCCACAAGCGCAGCCAAAGTTTGAATGTTGGGCCAGCTCTTCGGCTCTGGAAATGAAACCTGCGCATGGAATAGTCTT